AGGGGCAGGCGCGGGCCGTCTGGTGCTTCCGGCAGGTGCACGTGGTGCTGCTTGAGCTGCTGGAGTTGCTCGACGTCCTCTGCCAAGAAGCGCTGCCGCCAGCTCGCTGCATCGAGTGCCGCGTCGCTCTGGTACGCCGGGCGGCTCAAGGCCAGGGTGGAGCTGCGGTACTCGGGCCATTCAGCTTCGGTTTCGGCACGCTTCCGCTGCCACGCGGTGGGGTCGCAGTACACGCTGCGGCGGACGTGGGCCGTGTAGGAACTGTAGCGCTGCAGAAGAGCACGTATGCGCTCCGAGCCCGCAGCCGCAAGATCCCCGAGCGGCGCGAACTGATGCAGGCACTGGATGAACAGCTGCATGTGCGCGTGGAGCACGCCGCTCTTCTGTGCCTCGATGGATCCGTAGATGGCATCGACTCGCCCCAGCACCCCGCCGCAGGCGGTGGCATTGCTGCCGAAGGCATCGGTGCAGGGCGTGTCGGACACGGCGCAGTCGGGGCAGCGCGGACAGAAGCGCACGCCAAAGATGTGCCGGAGTGTGAGCAGCACGAGGGTGCGGAAGCCCTCGAGGCAGGCGAGCGGGTCGCGGGCCAGCGCCGCTCGCCGCTCGTCGTAGGGCGGCAGCTCGGCGGCCAAGGCTTCCGGGCTCAGTCTGAAGAACTCCACGTCCAAGGCGGGCTTGTCTTTGGCCTGAAGGCTTCTCGAGCCATCGTGGATGAGCGACGGGTCGGTCCTGCGGACACGGGCCAGGCGGAGCATGAGTGCCGAGTCCCGCTCGGACGGAGAGAAGGTCACGAAGACGGAGAGCCCGTGCGAGACCCTGTAGGAGTGCGTCTGGTGCCGCATGGTCGTCCGGACCTCGTGCGTGCCGGGGATGTGCCGGGTACGAGCTTCGCAGTTGTTCAGCACCTTGTTGGCCATGTCAGAGAGGCCGTCGACGAAGTGGAGTCTGGAGAGGACCCCGCCCACCGGCTTCAGATCGCCGTTGATGTCTCGATATTGGCCGCTCTGCAAGTGCTTATATATTTCATTGACGGCTCTGAGGATGGTGAGGTTGTCGACGCTGCTACTCGCATCCACATGCATGAAGGCATTCCGGCTCTTGTTGACCATGGTGCGGAAGAGGTAGTTCCACAACGTGAAGCCGAAAGTCCAGTCTCGGCGGAACTGCGCCTCCACCCGCCTCTGCATCGCGGCCGCCCATTCTTGCACATTGATCACCGGTGCCTCCGGGTCTCTGGCGCGGCGGGTGAGCGCCACCTCGGAGAACGTGGATGGGCGCCAGACGTCGGGGCACGCGGTGCCGTGCTTGAACAGAAAGCAGAAGGCGGTGGCAAAGTAGAGCGGCTGGAATTGGTCGACGAAGCGATTGCC